GCCAAAGAGATATCTGAGCTTATGAGTGATTATAAGACTATGTACTCAAAGTGGGTCTTTGAGCTCAGGTGAGAAAAGCTCTTGCTTTTGACAAGCATATGCTCCTTTTTCCTAGATACATTGATCTTACAAGTTAGAATCTGAATTTCAACCATGGTAGAAACTATTTAGATCAACATAACATGGTTTATCTATACTTATTGAGCGTGGACCTTCTCCTGTATCTCTCCTCTAGAAGTTAGATATCTATGTTTCCATCTGAGTCATCATCATATTTTTTTGCGTTCTCATTTCATGTTTCTGCTTCCAGGTGTGGCTTTGGCCTTCTAATGTATGGCTTTGGATCTAAGAAAGCTTTAATTGAAGATTTTGCTTCTGCTTCTTTGACTGAGTATTCGGTTATGGTCATCAATGGCTACCTCCCTTCCGTAAATCTAAAGCAGGTACTCTTTTGTCAGTTTGGATGTAGCAATTCTTTCTCTTGCGCAGCTCTATGTTCTTCAGGTTGAAAAAGAATTAGTTTTGTATGTAATAACGAAATGTTCTTTTCTATATTGCAAATTCAGGTTCTTTTAGCTTTAGCTGAACTTCTGTCTGAGCTTTTGAAATGTAAAAGAAAGAGTTCCGGGAGTTTTTCTAAAGGTCAAGAAACATTTCCTTCACGCTCCATGGATGATATTCTTTCCTTTCTACATGGTCCACAATCCGAAGATAAAGACTGCTTCATATGCGTTGTTGTTCATAACATTGACGGCCCTGCTCTAAGAGATCCCGAATCACAACAAACTCTTGCCCGGCTTGCTTCTTGTTCACACATACGCATGGTTGCCTCTATTGACCATGTCAACGCCCCATTACGTAAGCAGTATTCTCTATCTCTCCTGCTAATTGCTTATCATGGCTGAGTTCTATTGCAATTTTTTCTGCTCACTCACTGCTATCTGTCAAAGACTTCTAAGACCTTATGTACTGCTTATTTGACCTGAGGCGGTGTGTCTTGTGTCCATTGGCAGTGTGGGACAAGAAAATGGTGCACAAACAATTCAACTGGCTGTGGCACCATGTTCCAACATTTGCACCATACAATGTCGAAGGCGTATTCTTCCCGTTGGTTCTAGCACAAGGAAGCACAGCTCAAACCGCCAAAACAGCAGCCATTGTCTTACAGAGTTTAACACCAAATGCTCAGAATGTCTTCAAGATTCTTGCAGAGTACCAACTTTCACACCCAGATGAAGACGGCATGCCCACTGATGATCTGTATTCAGCCTCTCGGGAACGCTTCTTTGTGAGCAGTCAAGTGACTTTGAACTCTCATCTCACGGAATTTAAAGACCACGAACTGGTTAAGACCAAGAGAAACTCCGATGGTCAAGAGTGTTTGAATATACTTCTTTCTTCGGATGCACTTCGACAGCTTTTGCTTGATCTCAATCAGTAGCCTGAAACTGTATCTCTGATATGATTCATTTTAATTGCTTGAACGAGTTATTATACAAGTTCACGTATTTATTTGAATGTTATAGTCAGCACTCACAGCTCTTATTATATAATCATAATCTGAGATCATAACAATTTTCTTTCTTTATACAAACCTCAAATTGAATCTATGGGTAGGGTTGATTCCAACACAACGTAAACAAGACTGCAATGTGATGAAAATTCCCATTAAAACAGTGAAAACGCCTATATATGAGTGGCCAATATCAATGAGAGATGACTCCTATAATAAGCTTCTACAAACAAGAAAACTAAACAGTTGTTTCTCTTTTTAAGTCAGCATCAGATCATTTCCACCGAGATTAGGACGGAGACACACCCGCACCTCGTGCTCTTCCGGGCCAGCTCTTAGTTTCGGTACAAGTATCTCAAGAACTGATCCAGGTCCATCGTAATACGCTTCAATGTTTGCATCTTCCGGGATTCGAGTTGATAAAGGGATCTCTCTGACAAATTCACCTGGCGGGCAATGCTCGGAGGCTGAATCAGTCAGCTTGAATGTTCTATCATGTCTCTTTATGAAAGGTATGCGCGATGTGCTGAGGCATGAAACTTTTATGATTCCGTGTGTGAGAGTGTTCCTCCACGAGACTTTAACGCTGTTCAAATCCACAAAAGGAAGGCTGATTATGATCAAGTAGCCTTCTTCGTCCTCATATATCGTTTTTGCAGCAGTAACAGGTCCATAAACGTTTTTCATGGCCCCGCTAAACTCGTTCGACCAAGTTGGTAGCTCATTCTGGTGAGCTTCGATAACAGGAGGTGGTGGGTTTACGGTTAAGCAACACTCCTCCTCATGAATCCCATTTGAGAACAAGTCCTTCCTCTTCTTGTGGCTCGAAGGAGATAAATCAGTTGCTTCACCATTAGAATGGTTGGAAGGTTGAGTTGAGAGATTGAGCCCCGATCCATTGAGTAATTTCTTAGAGTGGCTAGCAGTAGGATTCTTCAAAGAAGGTGTAGGCCTCTCAAGCTCAAAATCAGTGTTGGGAAGGTTTCTCCACGAACCAAAGTCGCTAGCTTCAGGTGGAATGGTGAAATTCAAATCACGACCCGTAAGCTCCATCCACCTTTTCCTCTCTTCCTCATCTAGACACGTGAGGTTTGGCAAAGGAACAAGCTCAATCCCATGAACACACTGCGGATTTGACAAACCTCTGTAGTGTTTCCTCTGCATTCTATGAGACCTAACAAAACCTTTCTCAACACTAAATGGAAACAAACGATCCCCTTGTCTAGAATGCCCGTTCATGTAACTCCTCAACTGCATCTTCCCAAGCGCATTCTCAGGTCTTTCCTTAAACACCCACATATACATATTCTCCATATCATGCTGAACTAGAAACACATCAAGCTTCAAATCCGACTTGTCAAAACCAGATATCCCATTACTATCCCGGACGATTTTCGCCTTTGATTTCTCGTTTAACGCAGGCTTGAAGTAGAAACTAAAGAAAAACCAAGCACCCCATACACTATCAACACGTTTAGCACATTTCCTCCCAACCTTAGGCACAACACTCATGTAATTCTCAGTCTCATAAGCTTGTGAACCTAACCCAACATCCAAAATGTCACAAACATCCAAATTCCAAGGCTGAGGAGGAGGACTTCTCTCAGCTGAGAGAGGTAAATTGATATCAGGAGGGCCAGAGAGCAGAGATTGCCTGTTGTTATTATTCATCTCCAAATCAAGCTCCTCATGAGAAGAAGCACTTGAATCCATAGACAAGAGAGTAGAAGGATGATGATTCTCCATAACCAAGACGTCAAACAAAGTATCTACCACCATTTCAGCTCACACCAGAGACAAGTCTCATAGCCAATAACCATAACAACACTTGAAATTCTCATCTTCCTCTCCCAAAGTTAAACAATTGCTAGAAAGAACCAAAATACTTACATATATATATGAGATGAAGAAACCCAAATCGTGAAATCCTATAAAACACACAAAAATCGAAACTTTGAAGAAGATATGAAAAAAGGAGTTTTTTTTTTTGCTCTTGTGGAATAAATAGAGATAAACCCAGAAAGAAGAGGAAGCTAAGATGAGCACGATGCAGATGGTATCGTCATCATCATTAGCAACCAAAATGGATCAGTCTCTGTGGATTCGCCAACACAACAAATCTTGATTTTTCTTCTTCTTCCTCTGTTTTTTATTTTAGAGAGAGAAGAGACAGACCCGACGGAGTAAACGCCTGTCCTGGATGGAACCGTGGAGACTTTCCTCCGTTACTTAACGGTGACGATGATTGTTTATTGGTCGCTTCTTTTTTTTTGTGTGTTGTTTAGAAATTTTTTATGAAATATGTTAAAATTTGGTGATAAGAAAAGCATATAAAAGATTGATTTTTTCAGCCAACGTTGTTTGGATTTGTGGTAAATAAAGAACAACAATATATTTGTGTCTACATCGTTAGTCTAAAATGTCTTTATCTTTGTGGTCTTATATGTTTCTTATCACCTTTTCTTCCATCAAACAAAACTTCATGAATTTGATTATTCTGGATTATTTTTTTAGAACATGTAATTCATGTGACTATTTATGTGGTTAAGGTCTCTACTATATTTTGGAGTATCCCCTAGCCCGTAGGCCTTAGCTGTACTACATGTTATTTAGATAGAGTTCTACATACAAACATTGTATAATCTTATTATATGATTTTGATACCGACCAATTATCAGAAGTAGCAAAAAAATATATCTAGTGATTTATATCCATCACTATTAAACTATAAAATCTTCAATTTTTGATCAAATTATGGCGAAGATCTTTGACTCTCTTTAGGTTCAAAATTCATATCACAACTTTTCAAACCAAAAGAAAAACGCTTTGTTGTCATAGACTCATAGGTTGATCATTTATGCATCGTAGATTTTAACAAGTACCTCATGTAAAACCAAAATTTAGAAATAAGAATCGTGCACCGCTAAAAAGTGAAATCCACCGTTAGTCTCCAATATACCTCAAAGCTGAAATCACTGGCCCATTAGTTTACGACCCAAACCAAGCGTCACAGATAATAAGTGGAAATAAAGAATAAATAATTTTGGTGGCACCGACAAACCACCAAATTTCCAACCACTACTCCCATGTAAAACCATCATAACAAAACACCAAAGAAGATCCTACTTCATCTCTCATTGTATTTAAAAATCTAAAAAAGAAGATACATGATAATTTGATTATGAAGACATGCTATCAAATTTTTTTAAAAAAAAAAAACAATGAAACAAATTTATATTGTTTTACAGAAAAAAAAAAGTCTTTAAAGAGTTATGTAATGACTATGCTCTAAGTGAATACTACTAAATTGTCGTTACAAATAACATTTGGAAGACCTATTGCTTGCTAGTTGTGGCCAATTTTATTTTTTGTATATTCACCCTCTATAACAAATATATAATTTTGACCTTTCGCCGGAGGAAAAAAAAACCAAGCTTAGTTAGTAAGAAGCACTTTCCATTATTATCTCTCTTCCCCCACCACATTTCATATTCACATAATAACAATAATAATGTTCAATAATACAACAACAACCTTCGGCTCCGGCGCCGGCATCGTCGTCGTCCCACCTCCCGCCGTTACAGTTCCCACCACCGTCTTCCCCGGCACCACCATCACTTCCAATTCCACCTTCATCATCATCGGACCTCCACCACCGTTCCCAGCTCCTCCACGGAGCATCGATCTCTCTCCTCTCAAACTAATCTTCGCCGTCATCGCCATCGTCGCCGTTCCCGCTTTAGCTTACGCTCTCTTCTTCACCATCCCTTGTTCTTCCTCCCGCCGCAACTCCTCTTCTCCTCGCCGTAGCACTTCCTCCGACGATACACCTCACGTCACCGTCGACATCACCCTGCCGATCATCGAGACCACCGTAACTCCTGACTCCGGCGGGAAAATCCAAAAAGATACACATTCCAAGGAGATCGGAAACGAGTGCACCGTGTGTCTCATGGTGTTCACCGACGGCGATGAAATCCGGCAGCTTATCGAGTGTAAGCACGCGTTCCACGTGTCGTGTATTGAAGAGTGGCTTAAGGATCATCCTAATTGTCCCATTTGCCGAACTGACGTCTCCGTTAAACAACAGACCGAAGCAGCCAACGTTACCGTTAACGTTAACGGTAACGTGAATCGCAGCGGCGGAAACCGTCGAGTTTCAGCGACTAATAATAGAGATGACGATTGGCGTCAAGGTCTACCTGATGCTTCTAGCTTAGTTTGAATTTATTTTTATTTAATTTTATTTCGTTTTTTTCCACAAATTTTTTAAAGATAGTATTTTTGTAAACAAATTACGTCAATTTCGAAAAAATTATGTCCGTTAAATTTATTTATTCTTATGTAATTGGTTGCTTCGTAACTCCGTAAGCAACTGTGAGTGTCTGTGCGCGATGTGAAATCTGACGTTGACTCATAGTAAACTCATCCAACGGTGTGTGAAGATCTTATATTAATCGGACGGTTATTAATCCATCCACGTCTTCTCACTGAAACGACAACGTTTTGATCTTCACCAACCGATTTTTTCCAAAATTAAAAAACAAAACTTTCGTCTTCTTCCCGGCTATACTCTTCTTTCTCTCTCCACCGTCGGCTCAGATCTAGACGAAAATGTTCCGGTGAAGTCGTAATTGTATAATCGAATCATGAAAAGATCTCACATTTCTTCTCCTCGTTCTTATTCACGACCAGCGATTTCAATCTTCGGTGTTTTCCTCTTGTTCCTTCTGGGTTTAACACTAACTTCTCGAAAACCATCAGATTCATCCTCTGGTTTAGCTCAAAATCGGAACTTAGCCGCAAAATCGAAGATTCCGAGGTTTGCGTATTTGGTAACGGGAACGAAAGGAGATGGGAAACGAGTGAAACGACTGCTTAAAGCAATATACCATCCGAGAAATTACTATCTTCTTCATTTGGATCTCGAAGCTTCAGATGAAGAGAGGTTGGAGCTGGCGAAGTATGTGAGATCGGAGAAGAAGAAGTTTGAGAATGTTATGGTAATGGGTTTAGCTGATTTGGTTACGGAGAAAGGTCCAACGATGTTAGCTAGTACGCTTCATGGTGTTGCGATTTTGTTGAAGAAAGCTAAGGATTGGGATTGGTTTATTAATCTTAGTTCTTCTGATTATCCTCTCATGCCTCAAGATGGTAAATGTTCAATCTTTAAACCAAATTTGAAGTCTTTGCTTCATGTTTTTGTGTGTTAGTGAAATGTTCTTGTTCTGTAGTTTAAAATCGAATTAGGACTTAAGATTCTGCTTGTTATATGGATTATCAATACTTCTTTTGTAGACAATGTTCATTTGTATAGGAAATAGGAAAATCATATACTTGATTGGCTCATGTGTATTTGGTATTATTGGTTCATCTATTCTTATAAATGGTCTGGTGTTCTCTAGTAGACAATATTGAATTGTATAAGGAATCAAGAAAATCTTAATGCTTTTGATTGTCCCCTTTACCTGATTTAAACTCAAACATCATTTCTTTTGTTTGAATGCTTACTACTCAAATCTCTTCCCCTATGTTTGATGTGTCCTTCAACGGAATCCGATCAGAGCAAGGATTTTTAGTAAATTAAAGTAGAAGTTGAACTTCCTGTCTTCTTGGATTATTGACTTGTACAAGAATTAGAAAGACATATATATATGTTAGACTGGCTTCTGTGTATTGACTTTAACTAGCCTCTGAATACTGGACTTGAATGTACATCATAAGAAGGTGTTTAAATTTTGGTTTTGGCCATTCTTGTTTTACAGTTTAATGATCTTGTTGTACTTTTGGCTCTTTTTGTGGTTTCAGATATTTTGCATATTTTCTCATACTTGCCGCGCTACCTGAACTTTATCGAGCACACAAGCAACATCGGTTGGAAAGAGTGAGGGAGCTAATATTATGTATACCTACCTTGAATGTTCTCTGTTTTATATGTAGAAACAGATCATTTGAGTCGCTTCTTGTGTAACAGCTGTAACTGTAAATTTTGTAGGAACCAAAGAGCAAGACCTATCATTATCGATCCTGGCTTTTACCATTTGAAGAAATCTGGTGTCTTTTGGGCTAAAGAACGGAGATCTTTGCCTGCTTCATTCAAACTTTACATGGGTAAAAAACGTTCAAACTCATTTCATGTTCACTCTTATCCTAAGCGTATGATTGCCTCTTCTTCTTCATTTTGTGGATGCATCTCTTCTAATAGGTTCAACCAGTGTTGCGTTAACAAGACCGTTCCTCGAGTTTTGCATTTGGGGATGGGACAATCTCCCAAGAACGCTATTGATGTACTATAGCAACTTCCTCTTGTCATCTGAAGGCTATTTCCAGACAGTTGTGTGCAACAATAAAGATTATCAGAACACAACGGTTAACCACGACCTGCATTACACCAACTGGGATCCGCTTCAACAGCGCACCCTGAATGTAACGGTTGAGAATTTCCGCGATATGGTCGAAAGCGGGGCTCCATTCGCAAGGGAGTTTCGAGAGGATGATCTCGTACTCGATAAGATTGACACCGAGCTGCTAGGTCAAACCGATAGTGGATCGGGGTTGAAGACTCCGGAGATTGTTAAGCCAACGGTTAGTTGGAAGAGGCTTGAGAATCTCATGGTTAAGCTTCTTGATCATGAGAATTTCAGGGCTAAGCAATGTAAATAAGTTATGTGTTGTCTAACTCTTGATTATTGATTTTATTCTTCCAATCATTATTTTTTTTCATGAAAAGTGTATTTGGCCTTGGAATATATTTGTTCTCGTTCGTCTAAAAATGTTTTGTTCCAAAATTCCTAATGTGTGACGTATTCTACAAATGATCAAAAAGTTGGAAATGATACTCGTTATTTACCTACACTCTTGAAGTTATCCATATGTATCCAAAACTGATCCATATGTATTTGGGCATAGCCTACTACTTTGATCCATATGTATCCAAAACTGATCAAATCTATCGAAATCTAAACTAAAAGGTAAAAATCAAACCACCATCGATAATCGAATGACCAAATATTTTAAATCTGCAAATTAGTTTTGTTTGCCGTTTTTTGTTTACTAGATTGATGAAATCTATCGAAATGTGTGGAGAATGTTTGCGTGGTAGGTAAAAACTTACAAAAGAAACCTCGGAAAATGGACCCAAAGGCCCAAACCTCAACGAGTTAGAGAGTCACGCGGTTCGAGGGAGCGTGAGGATCAATCACATCTACGAGAAGATATTGCCATGCAGAGCAAAAAAGCAGAGAGTGAGAGAGGGAACATGATGGACCGGTCGCGATGCTTCGGCTGTCGTCCAACGACCAAAGCACCCACTTTTCCTATTTTTCAAATATCTTCTTTTTTTTCTCTTTCAAATTATTATAAATCATTATATGATCAACGATCCTATTATAATCATTATGCTAACACATCGGAATTCGGTCTACATAACACCTTTGTCTCCTAAATTCACTCCAAATATTCTACTCGGATCAATCTACACAGAAATCAACTATGTAATCACTGTTAACCAAATAAAATTTGATTGTTTAAGTTGAATATACTTCTTTTTTTTGCCAAGATTACTCTAATTTAGGTAATGCTATTTGTAATACCTCAACATTTCATGTTTAATGATATTAACATTCTTAGCAAAAAAAAAAAAAAAAAAAAAGAATATACATATACAATAACACATTGTGGTCATTATTTAAGGGACAAGAGGGTTAACTTTACATTAAGACTTCATCCAATTCGATTACGTCATTACTTTGAAATGTTTAATTTCTAACGAGTAACGAATAACAAAATAATAATATGTTTCTTGGTCATCTTGGATTCATAATAACAATTGTTATGAGCATCCAAAGCGAGACTAATTTTATTAAATTGTTAAAGAGTTGGTTTTCTATGGTATAGATATTATACTGTCAAAAACAGTTTTTATGTGAATAATGTAATATAAAACAAGATTAATATGAAACGGATGTACTAAGCTAACTGTTGTTGATTTGATCTATAAATCTCGGTCTAAATGTGTGGATCTATGAAGCGACGACTATCACAAGGTAAAATCTTATATATGTACTAAGAAAATACAATATATGAAAATAGTGATAAGAAATTTAAACCCTAACTAAAGCAAGAAAACAAAAAGAATCATGTCAGTCCCACCCCATATGGAACACAAACCCTAATAATTACATATATGACAATTATCTTCTTATAATATATCTCCATACAAAATTATTGAATACACACATACATATATATGGACATAGATATATATATAAAGGTTCATCCACTTTAAATTTTAGCCATCTTCATTCTCACACTCAACCTATCTCTCCCTTCAATCTCATTCTCATTCTCTCTCGGCTTTGTTTTCTCTTTGATCTGATTCCTCTATTCTATTTCTAATCCATCACCCACCACGAAAAAAGAAAAAAGAAAAAACTTTACTTTAAGAATTTTGAAGAATAAAATCAAAAGAGAATAACAATGGTTTTCTCCTCCATCCAAGCTTATCTTGATTCATCTAACTGGCAACAGGTAAGTGCTTTACTATTCCATATATATAATTACATGTTCTAAATTTGGAATCAAAATTAAAAAGACAAATCTTAATTCAAAACAAGAAAAAGAAGCGGCACAAAAAAATTCGTCTTGCTTTGCAATTAGCATGATATAGTTTTGGAATCAAACTCAAAAAAAGTTCTTCTTAATAATGTTAATTCAAAGCAAGCAAAAGAAAAGATACAAAAAGTTCTTCTTGCTTAGCATTTTCTTGAATATTCTTGTTCAGTTTCAATAATTCCTGATCCTTTTTATTTTATTTTGTAATTTTAGGCTCCTCCGAGCAATTATAATCAGGACGGTGCAGGAGCCTCAGCAACCGGAGGTCATGTTCTTCGTCCTCAGCTGCAGCCACAACAGCAGCCGAATCCTAATGGGAGCGGGGGAGGAGGTGGAAGCGGCGGTGGCTCGATCCGAGCAGGATCAATGGTGGACAGAGCAAGACAAGCAAACGTAGCCTTGCCTGAAGCAGCACTAAAATGTCCAAGATGCGAATCCACCAACACCAAGTTCTGCTACTTCAACAACTACAGCCTCACTCAGCCACGCCACTTCTGCAAGACATGCCGGAGATACTGGACACGTGGCGGTGCCCTCCGCAACGTCCCTGTTGGTGGTGGCTGCCGGAGAAACAGGCGTACTAAAAGCAGCAGCAACAACAACAATAACAGCACTGCTACTAGCAACAACACCAGCTTCTCCTCCGGGAATGCATCCACCATCAGCTCGATTCTCTCCTCCCACTACGGAGGAAACCAAGAGAGTATCTTAAGCCAGATTTTGTCTCCAGCGAGGCTAATGAATCCTACTTATAATCATCTCGGAGATCTCACAAATAATACAAAAACAGACAACAACATGAGCTTGTTGAACTATGGAGGATTAAGTCAAGACTTGAGGTCAATCCACATGGGAACTTCTGGTGGCTCGCTTATGAGCTGTGTTGATGAATGGAGATCGGCATCTCATCATCAGCAGCCAACTATGGGCGGTGGAAACTTGGAGGATTCTTCTAATCCTAATCCATCCTCAAATGGGTTTTACCCTTTTGAGTCGCCGAGGATAACTTCAGCGTCAATTTCATCTGCTTTGGCATCGCAGTTTTCTTCGGTTAAAGTTGAAGATAATCCTTACAAATGGGTTAATGTCAATGGTAATTGCTCTTCCTGGACTGATCTTTCTGCTTTCGGCTCTTCTCGTTGAGTTCAACCACACAACAAAAAGGAAACTTGAGGGTATACTTTGGTGGAAAAAACCTAGTTACTAGTTATTAGGTTAATTTTGTCTTATTTTGCGTTTTGGTTTAGTTAATGTTGTTTACTACTTTCCTCGTTCTCAATCTATGGACTATGTTTCTAGTTCTAGGTAGCTTAAGTTCTTGGATGTTTTTGAGACTGTTCCTTTGTTATTTTCGTCAACACTGTCCTTTTGTTATCTTTCGATCGAGTTTGATCATTACTATCAAAATGAACTTAATGTATTAGATAGATCTATCTATCGATCTTAATTAAAATTCTGATATGTTGGACGAGTTGATTTAATTTCTAACTAATATATTTAATTTGTAAATCACACTGTTTTAACCAAAACCACCAAAAGAACACTAATTTTGGTCAAATAGTTTCTTCGTAGTTCGCTCTCCTCTTCACTGATCGACTTTGAATAAATGATACAACTGAAAGGGGGAAACAGATGTCTCTTTTGTTTGCTTTAAGGAATATTGTTTAATTCTTGAGATTAAAGATTTGAATATAATGGAGGAACAAAAGAGATGTGAATAGTAACAACAACAACAACAAAAAACAATTGATCGTTGTGGGTTGGGTTGAATTGACGACACCAAATCAAAAGTAAGGAATCTTAGGTTTAATAATTCCAAATTTTATTTTCTATGTCCACAGTAAAATAGTTTCTTGCGCATAATTAGTTGGTTGATTTTAGAACAAAATAAAATTATCATCGAGATTTACTTGTGTGAAAACACTTAAAATATTGATTTGTGTGTCTTGATTTACCGCAATATTTTTGTGTTTATAATGATAAACTTTAGCGGATTATTTGAAGATGCTCTAGTACTTGCGTGTTAAAAAGCAGTCTTAGTGGGTTTTTTTTAATAGTAACATTTTTGTCAATCACATTTTAATTACGCAGATGATAAATTAATCGTACATAAGATGACGGCCGGATTTTCTTTACATGTGACTACGAAACATTAAGAAGGACAGAAGCAGAGAATCAATGTCGGGACGAGAATTTAATCTTAAGTTGTCAGTTTGAACGCGCCTTGGGACGCGTGTACACACCTCACTAGGCGACAAATTTGCTTTTTTGTCAGTTTGTGTGGGCCACGTCATCTATTTTTCACTCTTAAGTCTTAGAAAAACTCATTCTCAAGTCTCTACTGATTTGGTCATTATTAGAGTTTCTTCCCTTCTTCCAATGTTCCACTTACTCGTTACATTTTTCTTTCCCTTTCACCAATTCTGCGTAAAAAAAAATTGAGTAAATTTGGAATTTTATGGGAATTGATTGATTACTTATTTACTTATAAAGTTTAAGATTCAAAAAAAAAAAAAGTGAATACTATATAACTATTGATTTTATAGTCCTTTGCGGAACGTCCTTCATCATCTCTCTTTCGAAAAGGATAATTCAAAAACGAATAGACAGAAAGATATATTATATACACATTATGATTTTATGGGTCCTAAAAAAAGGAGAGATTGGTTCATAGTGAAAGAAAGGAATCTAAATTAGATGATTGTGTTCTGCTTTTGCAAGTACCAAGGCTGCTCACCAATATGGAATAAAGCACATTCAAACCTATTAAAGCTAAGCCACATAGTATAAACCTGCCCAATCTGCCATAAATTAGCTACATTCTTGTAAATAATATTTCACTAACTAAACATAATCACTGACATTATGTTACAAATTGTTGAATTTCACCTAGTTAAATTTATATAGTATACTACAGTATCGTATTCATATCATAATCGACATTTCAAAATTTTAACCTTTCATTTGAAGGTTGAAGTGAACAGATATATTGATACACTGGTTACTCGAATTCGATCATATCACTCGAACCTATAGGTTCAAACCATCAAACTACACGTAAGTGGATCATACATAAGAATCTGTTCATGTACAAAGAAAAAAAAAATTGAGTACTAGACTACACATTGATATATAGTTTTGTTTGGCGAGACTGTTTAAGTTCATGTACCTTGAGATATTTTACCGGCCTTTAGTAATCTCAAATCGTTTTTTCTTAGAATTACTTCTAAATCAAAACTTTAGCTATCCTAAAAACGTTTATCTTATCAGCTACTCGCCAATTAATGATTTGAAGTGATAATAGCTAGGCATAAATCAAGATAGGCTTCTGTATATGAGACCCAACATAAGCATAGTAGGCTCAGAAATCCAAGTTAAATCTTGTCTCCTAATCATGTATGTATTTCTGTGCATATATATATTGTATTATATGTAGGCACATCCTTGTATGAATTTATGCGAAGGTCTAGGCATATATAGACGACGACCAGCATATTTGTGTACTACTACTTCTACAGCAGCTTTCACTTTTACAGCATCATGTGTTTTCACTTACTTCCCTAGCTAGGACTATAAATAAAGAAACATCTAATTTCATATTTCTTTTTTTTAATTTTACAATCACATTTTAAGCACATTTGTCGAAATTTCTAGATGGTAATAACTAATAAGGGACACATTTTATAAGCATATGTGTTAATATTTCTTGATGGTTAACGTACAAGTTTTCTAATCACGCTCTCGCTTAACTGTTATTTAATCTTAACACTTGCTGACTTGCACTAGATCCCCAAGGGTCTTCCATCTAGCTAGGGTACAATACACTGTCACGTCGATTTTGGCCAAAATAATAAACTAATACAAGTATAATTTTAATAAACAGAAGTTAAAGAAAAAAAAACAGCGATAATAAATTGGTGTCTAGACCTAGAAGTTCCTAAATCTCCGATTAAAACATCATAAACTTAAAAATGTTATTAATAATCAATGTTTTTATGATGTTTACAGAGAAAATATAGTTGCATTCACAAACAATTACAATTCTTTGTTTTGTGGTTAACCGTAGTTTGGCCTGTAGTAAAAATCGTTCACTAGAATTAACTAGCTTTTTCCTAAACAACAAAAATATATATTTTCAGACCAAAGCTTAGACTGAACTTTTTTTCCGAACTGAACTTGCTAATATTAAGGGGTGTAAATGGTACCCATGGAGATCGTAATAATGAAATTTGAGATCAAAGCTTCAATTTGTTTGGTAGCTGCGGTTTGTAGTGGAGTTATTTATTTTGGTGTTGTAGATAAGGATATTATGGCGGCTTGGACAAGAACATCTGTAATATGCGAATGCCACAAGTTTCCAATAGATATTCTATGGTTTAAATTGGAACATAGACTTTTCTTTTTGTACGCAACAAAAAAAAATTATAGACCTTTTAATCTTTAGGAACCAAATTTTTTTGAATTGAATTGGATTAGTTCATTCTCTACCACCAGTGTTGAACATGACCTGATCAGTTACATATTCACATTTAGCCAATTTGTAATCATATATTCATATTATTTGGTATTAGTTTAAAAGCATCATCGATTCTCTAAAAGTTTCGCATCAATCCAAGTTGTAATCACATATAATCGAAATACACTTAGATATGTGAAGATATACAAAAGGAGCTCTATATAGTCTCTATCATCTTTTAGATGTTGGAAATTGATCGATGTAAATATAAGGATCATACATGTGGATAAAGTGGTAAAGCAAAGGGATTTTAATCTCTTAGTAGTATTGCCTTGTCACGTTTCTTCCTCACGTTGTCATCAACCACACACGTTCTTCATTTTTAAACCAAAGATTCCTTATTAGCCATACACTTTATGAAAAGTACACAAGCGTACGTACATCTGTATTTATATAACCGTGCATGCATAATGGTACAACTAACATCCTCCACAAGCAGTTGGAGACAACTTTGTGCGCATCCTGAAATGTGGTATTTGTTTACTTCATCCGTTGTGACAAATTTATTAGAGGCCCAAAAGTGAAGATATTTTGATAGCTTGTAGCTATTGGGCCACGGTTTATTGGGCCTGCTTTAATAATGGGTATTTTCTAAACGAGCAAAGGGAACAAAGCATTGGCAAAAAAAGTAACGAGTTTAAGCTTCGTCAAAACAAGATTAATCCACATCCCTAACAAAACACAACACATAGACGCTTTTTGGGCATACAGAAGCCAAAACTTGAGTTCCAAAAGAAACAAATATCCCATAACACACAAGCCTAACAAGATGTTTACTTCTTCTTCTCAGCAGCAGCAGCACCACCACCAGACCTGCAAGTAGTCAAGACATGAAATGTTTTTGAAAATAATATGTATGCAAATTGAAACTCATGTGAAGCTAAAAACGAATGACAACAAAAAAATACCTTATCTTGCGGAGAACACCAGACATCTCCTCTCTCTTCCTCTTAGCTCTCTTGTGAGTACCCAACTTCCTCTTAGCAACCTTAAGAGCACGCTTGTCTTTCCCAACCTTGAGAAGCTCAGTGATTCTCTTCTCATAAGGAGCCAATCCAGCTACTTCCTTGATCACGTTTCTGATGAATATGGTCCTCTTGCTCGTTTTCTAAACAAATATGTCAAAACAAAACTCTTGAGACCATTTCTCAGTTCAAAACTCAACATTTCCAATTAAACTAATGTACGAACATCCTAAAGAATCAAATTAAATCAACACTAACTAAAATGCCAATATTTCAGTAATTGATATACACATTTCGAAGTTTATCTCCTTAAACACCATAAATCAAGCTCAAAACATAGACCAACAAAAGCCTAATCTAATAAAGCAATAAACTTTGTAATCAGAGGGGAAAAAGAGTGATACCCCTTTACGAGAATTGGGACGAGGAGCTAGCTCGCGTCTGGTGACGACGTGGCCTTTGTTCAATCCAACGAACAAACCGGTCTTCACTGCTGGAGTTGTCATTTTTTACCTGCAATAACTCAAACGATTCACAGATACTAAGTTAAGAAATCGATTTTGAAATCTAAAACAATGTAGCGAAGAAGAGAGAGTTTGATCAGATTTTACATACCTGCAATGGAGAAGCAGCCGCTGCAAAACGACGATCTTTGGAAAAAATGAAATTTATATATGCAGCGACAATAGACAAAACCCTAACATACATACTAATTAATTGGGCCTATTTGCTAAAAAATAATTTAATGGGCTCAATATATTGATCCATATCTGATATAGGCCCAAATCTATCTCGTTTAATTTCACTCTTTCTCAGCTTCTCGTTTAAATGGGCTAAGCAAAGATTTTGTTTGGATAGTGCTTTTTGGGTTAAGTAATTTGGAATCGAAATCGATTCTTTCTCAACAAATATGTCTAGCTGAAGCGAATTTTAGCGACATCTTT